CAATAAACAAATCTCTCATTTACTCACCCATGTCATCCCAAACTTGTATGCTGTTATTTTTCTGTGGAAAGGAAAAAAAGAGAATCTTTAAAGAGTGTTTTCTACACAAGGACAGTTCATAGTGACCACCATGACTCTCAAGTTCCCAAAAAACACCATTAAAGTATCATAAAAGTAGTTCATACAACTTGTGTTCTATTCAGCCTGGTCTCATGTTTATACGTAGGTATTAATACGTAACATTTACAAGCACAAAACGTACACTTTTGTACGTTTTTATTAATGCTAAAACGTACAATTTAGACGTATTTCAACGTTTAAAACGTACAAATCGCTACGTATTTTTAGCTAAAAAACGTAAAAATATTTACGTATCTTTTATATCATTAAGATATTCGTATCAATACATTTTTTTAATTTTATCAATAAGCGATTTAGATTTTTAGACCCCTTAACCTACCCCCAAACCTAAACCTACCCATTTTATAGCAAATATGCATTTTTTTTTTAATAATTTTATTAATACGCAATTTAGATTTTTAGACCCCTTAACCTGCCCCCAAACCTTAACCTACCCATTTTATAGCGAATATAAAAGGATATAAAACGCAAATGACCGAAATATGCAGGAAAATAACCATTTTAGTAACAAAAAATAATTTAGTCGCTAATTCCACTCCTACCTATAAACCTAAACATTTCTGTACAGTATAAGAAAAACATGACAGACAGATAAATGCAATTACAATCATTTATTTATTGCAAAAATGTCAAAAGCAGTACCAAAAGTAATCCAAATGACGATGCGTTGCACCCGCAGTCCTCTCTGGCGAACGTAAGTAAATGTACGTTTTATAGAACCACATTTTACGTAAAATACATACGAATTATCATGAGATCACGTTGGTTCTATTATACAAGTCTTCTGAGATTATAGGAAAGCTTTGTGTGAGGAGCTGCATGAGGGTGAATACATAATGACAGAATTTTCATTTCTAGGTGAAATGTTCCTTTAAGAAAAGATCTATGTGAGACTCAATAGATGTATTTAGGACATCTCCTGTAATCCTCTCGAAGAGAATAACCTTTCAAAGCACACCACACCAGGCATAACCTTATCGAGACCTTCCATTTAAAGCTGGCTGAATGTGATTTTAATCTGTCTCTCACCAGGTCAGGACTCGAAGGGTTTAACTTATTAAACCAAACAACCTGCAATCAGAGAAGCCTCATTGTACATTCTGTTTGAATGTGAGCCAAGCAGAAAGCAATTTGGGCCTCACGACTGCTTTAAACAAACTAATCTGCTATTGTACAGGCCACAATTTCAAACATAATCCAAGACTATCCTTAAAGACCAAAGGGGAAAGTTGACATATTTCCTATTAAAACAGTCAATTTAAGTCATAGCCATGAGTCATGATTTGCTACTTGCTATTATTTATTATTTGTGACCCTGGACCACAAAACCAGTCTTAAGTCGCTGGGGTATATTTGTAGCAATAGCCAAAAATACATTGTATGGGTCAAAATTATTGATTTTTCTTTTATGCCAAAAATCATTAGGATATTAAGTAAAGATCATGTTCCATGAAGATATTTTGTAAATTTCCTACCATAAATATATCAAAACTTAATTTTTGATTAGTAATATGCATTGCTAAGAACTTCATTTGGACAACTTTAAAGGCAATTTTCTCAATATTTGGATTTTTTTGCACCCTCAGATTCCAGATTTTCAAATAGTTGTATCTCGGCCAAATATTGTCCTGTCCTAACAAACCATAAATAATAAATAAAGCTTATTTATTCAGCTTTCAGATGATGTATAAATCTCCATTTTAAAAAATTGACACTTAACACCTGTGGTCCAGGGTCACATTTGTATATTAGGGGAGGGACATTTTCATTCTAGAGAAGATTTGATTGGACAAAAATCTGCATATTGCAGGATGAGTCATCAATATTTTTTCCGGACAAGAAAGACTACATTTTAAATATGTATGTTTGCTATATACATATTTATAATTTATTTTGTTTAAACTGCCACAAAACTCTAAAAACTTAAGATGTTTTTTATCATACTTTATGTTCTTTACATACATTTTTTATGGTTTATATTTTATTTTTATAACAATAACACTAATAACTATATATATACACACACACATATTTATTATTTACATATATAATATTTAATATACCATATACATACAGTATATTATTATTTTACAAATAAAATTATAATGCACACATGCCAGAAAGCCAGGATGTTCATGTACATACACAGAAAGAACACTGTGCTGTGTTGACATCGAACAGTGACTTGTTGGCATGTTTCACACTTTCTTCCCACCTAATGAAGTTGCACGTTGCATTTTAATGTATCACACGTGTCACATCATCTCATCACTGTCTCTCTCTCTCACACACCTTCCATATAAAGGTGCTGATATCCTTGCCTTCATTAGAGCTGCAACAAGCCCAGGTCTCCGTCACGCTGAGATATATAATTAACACACAGATCAGCGAGGAGATGGGCAGAGGGCGCCGGAGCCGCAGTCACTAATGATTCCACAGAGACTCTCTCACTAGACAAAAAGAACAGTGGACGACGTATGGATAATTGAGAGCTATATTAATACACACACACACAGATTACAGCAATAGTTCCCTCCAAATTAATATTTCTGTCATCATTTACTCACCTTTATGATGTTCCAAACCCTTATGACTTTTTCTTTTTTTTTTCTGTGGGACACAAAAGGATATGTTAGGAAGAATTTTCACACTGCTTTTCCAAATGATAAAAATATTCCGAAACAATTATTTTCTTCTTTTTTTAAATGGATGCAAAAATAGTAAAGAATACATAATGGTAGATATATACACACTGGCGGTTAAAAGTTTGGAATAATGAAGATTTTTTATATTTCTTATATAAGTCTCTTATGCTCACCAAGGCTGCATTCATTTGAGCAAAAATACAGTAAAAACAGTATTTTCTATTTGAATATATTTTAAAATGTAATTTATTTCTGTGCTGCTTATTATTTTTGTGGAAACACTGATACACTACCATTCAAAAGTTTGGAGTATTTTTTTAAATAAATAAATACTTTTATTAAGTAAGATGCATTAAATTGTTTAAAAGTGACAGTAAAGACATTTATTTATCAAAACATTTTATCTCAAGATAAAAATATATATACACTACTCACAAAAAGTTAGGGATATTTGACTTTCGGGTGAAATTTATGGAAAATGTAAAAAGTTCATGCTACAGTGATATTATATCATGAAAGTAGGTGTGTCTAGTCAATACAGAACTGCCCTACACCTGGTGAATGGTACTGTGACAAGCAAATACTACCTGAATAACATCATTAATCCAGTCATTGTCCCTCTGCATGAGCAACACAAGCCTGATTTCATCTTCATGGATGACAATGCATCATCAGGGAATGGCTGCTGGAGGCTGGTGTACCTCAAATGGAATGGCCTGCACTTTCTCCAGACCTGAATCCCATAGAAAACCTAGTGTAAGTAAGTAGAAGTAGAAGCATGCAATGGTAATTTCTTCATCTCAAACAATTTATTGAAACAAAAGCTAACAGCAGTGGTGGGTATACCACAGCAAAAAATGTCAATGTCTCAATAACTTGTCATGCGTCCTTGAGCATCAATTACAGCTTGACAACAACGTCTCATGCTGTTCACAAGCCGACTTATTGGCTGCTGAGGCATGACAAGTTATTGAGACATTGACATTTTTTGCTGTGGTATACCCACCACTGTTGTTAGCTTTTGTTTCAATAAATTGTTTGAGATGAAGAAATTACCATTGCATGCTTCTACTGAAATGCCCTGCTTTCATGATTTAATATCACTGTAGCATGAACTTTTTACATTTTCCATAAATCTCACCCGGAAGTCGAATATCCCTAACATTTTGTGAGTAGTGTATGTTTTCCACAAAAATGTGACACAGCGCATTTGTTTTCAAAATTAATAATAATAAGGAGAAATGTTTCTTGAGCAGCAAATCAGCATATTAAATTGAGTTCTGTAGGATCATGTGACACTGAAGACTGAAGTAATGATGCTGAAAATTCAGCTTTGCATCACAGGAATAAATTACATTTCACAATATATTCAAATGGAAAACAGTTATTTTAAAATTGAAACTTATTTCACAATATTGCAGTTTTTACTGCATTTTAGATCAAATAAATGCAGCTTAAACAGAAGAGACTCAACCCACCCCCCCACCCCCCCCAAAAAAAACCCTACTAGTAAATAAATAATGTATATAAATCTAAATGCAAAACACAGAAGGTAGATTTATTTATTTTATAACATTCTTTTAGCTTGACATTTGGTAAACAGAAACTTTGTAACAGTTTCATGACTGAGAGCAGACTCAACCCACCCCCCCCACCCCCCCAAAAAAAACCCTACTAGTAAATAAATAATGTATATAAATCTAAATGCAAAACACAGAAGGTAGATTTATTTATTTTATAACATTCTTTTAGCTTGACATTTGGTAAACAGAAACTTTGTAACAGTTTCATGACTGAGAGCAAAACATGAAAGAACTTTAATTTCTGGCTGAAACAAGCCTTTAATGAGCCACTTATTTCGTGTTGCCTATTTGTTTGACACCACCAAACAGCAATTTACAGCATCTCTGTGATCATTATTGCCAGATTAATGGCCGTTTGAGCAGGTCCAGTGTTCATAATCAGGGGCAAACACTGGAGGCCGATGATGAATTATTAATACCGACATGCTGAGATGGCATCGTTTGTGTGTGTGAAAGAGTGAGCGAGTTTTTATCTCTGATTCTGTTCTAACATGACTTCACTATGAAATCGGTTAAGCCGTCCATTTCCTCCTGCAGATTTGCTGGTAATCGTTTTCGCCAGGCCTCGTCCAGTCTCTTTGACATACCTTTAATCTGCCGTTAGTTCAATTGTGAGGAAATCCTCGCTCGTTCCCCCGCATTTTTCGGCCTCGTATCAAAGGCATCCTATGACAGCTCCAACCCTGAGAGAAAAATGTGTTGAAACGAAACTATTAGTGAGGAATATTTCAGGAAAGCAGACATATCACAAAGATCAAAGAGACGGTGAAAAAAAAAACACTTATGCAGCAAAATACAAGATGTTTTAAGCTCTGGGAAGTTGAAGTTCACTCACTTTGTGCTCTACGCTGGCGTCCCGTTTTAAGTGTTCAACTTTGATTGCCTAAGATTTAATGGGTTTCTAAGTTGTTAAACATCTAAGTATAAACCTTGCTGTGATGTTTCTATTGAAGTTTCTCATGCGAAGCAAAAATAGACTAAAATAAGTCAGTAGATGACAGTGAGAATATAACATTTTATTATTAGAAAGGTTGAAGCTCATATTAAGATTAAGGTTATGTATGTTACTGAAGCTTGTTTCTGCCACAGGATAAAAATAAAATAAAATAAAAAAGGTCATTGCAACTTTCTGTCTCACAATTTGGATATTTTTCCTTGCAAATCTGTTGAAGTTCATATTAAGATTAAGGTTCTGTATATTATTGAAGCTTGTTTCTGCCACGGGATAAAAAAAAATAAATAAATAAAAAAGGTCATTGCAACTTTCTATCACAATTTGGATATTTTTCTTTCCAAATCTGTTCAGTAAAGTTAAAACTGCGATATTAAACTTACTGCGAGAATGAAAGTCCGAATTCTGAGTTCATATCTTGCAATTCTTACTTTTTCTCAGAATTGCAAGAAAAACAGTTTTGGCCAAAACAGACTTGCGAGATATAAACTTGGAATTGTGAGATTAACTCAGAATTGTGAGAAATTTTGAATTTATTTCTTGGAATTATTACTACTGACTTTCTTCTCAGAATTGCGAGAAAAAGTCTAAATTGCGAGATATAAACTCAGAATTGCGAGAAAAAAATCTGAACCGTGAAATATAAAATCAGAATTGCAAGGAAAAAAGTCAGAATTGCGAGATATAAACTCATAATTGTGAGAAAGCCAGAATTCTGAGTTTATATCTTGCAATCCTGACTTTTTCTTAGAATTGCAAAAAAAACAGTTTTAGCCAAAACAGAACTGTGAGATATAAACTTGGAATTACATGATTTGCATGTGTTTTTAAATGTTTCATTCGCACGCTGGTCTGACGTGCGCTCACTAAAAAGCCTGTCAAACAGCTCCTGATTACTAAACTAAGTTATCTTTTGCGCTAATACTGTCAAAACACACAAGGTTTACATATAGACTCAGTTGGTTATGTCTAAAATTAAAGTAAACAGTTGAGAGAGAAACAGATGCGTGCCTGTATATTAGATGCATGCAGCCGGTCTTAAAGGGATGCTCCACCCCAAAATGAAAATGTTGTCATTAATCACTTACTGACAGATGGACTATTCTGACGATGTCTTTCATACTTTTCAGTGTAATTTACTTGGCAGTCAATGGGACAGTCACAAGCCTCCTGGTTTTCATCCAAAATATCTTAAATTGTGTTCCGAAGACAATCGAAGCTTTTACGGGTTTGGAACGACATGGGGGTAAGTGATTAATGACAACATTTTCATTTTGGAGTGGAGTATCCCTTTAAAGAGACAGCACTAAACATGCTGCCGACTGTCATTAAAGGGATAGTTCACCCTAAAATTTAATATCTGTCACGTTGTCCCAAACCTGTATTAATTTCTTTCTTGTGCTGAACACAAAAGAAGATATTTTGAAGAAGGTGGGTAACACCAAAAAGAATTTGATAGTAGGAAAAAAATACTATGGAAGTCTCTGTGGACCAGCAACTGTTTGGTTTTCCACCTTCTTCAAAATAGCATTTATCTTCCGCAGAAGAAAGAAACTCATTCAGGTTTAAAACAACTTTTGAGTGAGTAAATGATGGTATAAAAATAAAACACTATGCTAGAATTGACAGACAGATGACAGAAGTTTTATTTTTGTGCGAAATATTCCTTCAATGTTAATAAAACAACAAAAACACAAAGAGAAAAATCACTCACTACTCTTGACTGAAAAACTTTAATACAGTTGCATTAATAGGAATCAATCTATATAGTGTTTTATTCTTATATTTGTTCATTCAATTTCTTGAATGCTCCTGCTAAATACACCTATTGTACCTGAAAATAAAGCACTGTTTGTTTTATTTGTATATTATGTGTAGTTGTGATGTGTATCTTTGTTCTTATTTTTTAATAACAAAGATAAAATAATGACAACGATTTTTATCTTCACCCACTTTGGCCTAAATATCCGCCATTCTTTTTTATATTTTGTTACCTTGAAAGGCTTTGTCTTTATAATAGCGAAATTAGTTTGGCTGTAATGCTCAGACAACTTGCAAAATAGTAAAACCAATATGACAAAGAATCGTGATACTTCTAAAAAAGAAATCGTGATTTGATATTTTTTCCCATATCGCCCACCGCTAATTGTGAGATAAAAAGTCGCAATTACTTTTTTTTTATTCCATGGCCAAAACAAACTTGAAGTACTAACTTAGTAGGACCATACCCGTGCCTAGTGCATTGACTACCCTTACCAAAAAGTAGCATACTTAAAGTTTATTTTATTAAGTATACTTAAGTAAAGTTCAGAAGTACATAAAAAGTAGACTAAAAGTATACTTTCCTATTTTTTAGTTTAAAAGCAGTATACTAATTGCACACTTGAATAAACTTCTTTTTCGTAAGGGTAGTTATCAGATTTAGATAACTGCTTTAAAAATGCACAAGTATTCCATCTTCACAAGACGCTAAAAGCCTTGTTTACACGAGTTACTCTCAATGTCTTGCCTTCCCCATTTGCAGAGAGCGGGAAGCCACTTTTAAAAGCGGTTTGCTTCATAAGTGCCTCTCAAATTCATTCCCTAAAGAGAACCACTGACAAAATGTTTTTATCTACCTAAACCAACAACCAGTTTATGCCTTACACACTTTTCTAAGGGATCATTTTTGTAGGAGAGTTTTGGCGCTCAATCTGTTCAAATTCACCTCACGAAACTGTCCGTAAAAATATTGAGTTGACCTTGATTTTGTTTTAATAAAACACTATCGTTTTTAATGATACACTTTTAATATATGATATTCTGTCATGTGTACATAATAAACTGTTAAAATTGACAGTACCTTTGTTTTGTCGATGTAACGTTAATGTACGAACCCGATCCTAACGGACGCGTGCAGGTGTTGCTATGGTTACCACCGAAACCTGACGTTTAACCTTGTTGTATATATTGTTTCTAAAATAAACGTATAATTACCGATAAAAAAATTAAATAATAAATTCACAAATTGTTATTTACGTCATATATATTCTTTAAAAAAAAGTACAGTGGCAGTACCATGGCTCCTTAGACATAGTACTATAGAAATGCCATATTTTCATATATCTACGCCAGTCTATGTAGATATACACATTATTGTGTGGTTATCCTTTTTTCAACGAACACAAATCGTGCGCCAACAGCCACTCAATAAGATTTTTATCGATCACTTAGTTGATTTATTGGTAAAGATATTTATTACAACGATGGTATCATTGTAGGAGGTCATCATACGTAGTTCTAGCTGTATTAAATCTAATAATCCACTCCAAATGTATTTATGTCAAGAGGAATTAGGCTAAATTAAACATTATCAGCTGCTTTGATCTTTAATTCAGTCACTAGAGGGAAAATACCGCCACTTGCTGACCAACATGAGAACTCCTTCTTGATGCTATTTTCATATTTGTTGTACAAACATTGTATTACCATAGTAAAATGCCCTGAAAATATGGCATTTCTATATATATATAGTTGCTTAAGGTGTATCCTAATATTAAAAAATAAAAAATTTGCTGAGCTCTAACAATTTAGACGTGGCGCCGGGTAAAGATATTTTCACCTTGCGTCAGTACATCCACTCAACGTGATGTTCCGGTTACGTCAGGGATGCTCGGCGGAGCCTCTGATTGGTTACTTTGGTTCGCTTTAGCTGCAGTTAGCGAGATTCCCTAAAGCCAACAAAAACTGTTTAAAGCGTTAAACACTGACAATAGCATGCATTTGTGAGCTCAATTAAATTAATTTTTGCATTTTGTAACATAAATTAGCTCTTTGTTTAATTTCATTTGTAATATTATCTCCGAGCTAAATCAGATTTGATTTGAATATTTACTATCGGTTGCCGTGAGGACAGAGTGGAGCGGCTAGTCACTAGACTTCCCCTCAACCAAGAAGGGTGACAACTCAACTTCACCACATACACACTCTCACACTCTCTTTCTGCGATTATCATCTGTCAGGTTAGTGATCTGCCCATCTGTTCGCATCTCTTGAAGAGAGATTCGATTATATTATCTTAAAGATAAAGTGATTGTCCTGTTTATTGCTGTGTAAACTGGTGGTTTATTGGCTTTGTGGCTAGCTCATGTTAGCTCATTGATTTCACTCAAACATGTTACTTGCTAACCAGAAATGTCATTTTAGCTACACTACCATTTTGCACTAGGTGATCACGGTCAGGTGTGGGATTTTATTTGTCGCGTTGATTTAAAGTCCCGAACATGAGCAGAAATGGGCTGTTAGCACTAGCCTGCTACTGATTTTATTGTATTATGGATTTAAGTTGCATAATGATCAGCTTTCAGTCTAATGAACCTGTCAAACAGAGATGATATATATGGAGAGAGATCTGTGATCGTGCACTGCTTACTCTAGTGTTATAAATAGATAAGCATTGATTTCAGTGGTAAATATAAAGTCTACTTCCTGTGACGTTCACAGTGCCCAAAACAACATGGTATTACTATGGTACATGTCCACTGTCATGAAAACACGATAGTACCACAGTAAGCCCCAAAAAAAGGCAAGTACACTGATAAAATAAAATAAAAAGTTATACCATGATACAAATCCAGAAACGTAGTCTTACCATGATACATGTCCAAAAGCATGGTATTACTATTGTATTATGGAAATATATTAATATATAAAAACATATTACCATGATACATGTCCAAAAGCATGGTATTACTATTGTATCATGGAAATATCATGATTTTTGGACATGCACATGTTAGGTGTCAAAAAGCATGGTATTACCATGGTGCATGTCCAAAAACATATTACCATGATACATGTTGAAAAAACATGATTTTACCATGTTACATGTCCACAAAAACGTGGTTTTATCATGTTACATGTACATAAAACATGGTTTTACCATGATGCATGTTAAAAAAATTGATTTACCATGATGCATCTTCAAAAACATGGGTTTACCATGTTACATATCCAAAAAAACTTGGTTTTAGGATGTTACATGTCCACAAAAACGGGGTTTTACCATGTTACATGTCCAAAAAACATGGTTTTAGGATGTTACATGTCCAAAAAAACGTGGTTTTACCATGTTACATGTCCACAAAAACTTGGTTTTACCATGTTACAATGTCCACAAAAACGTGGTCACATACACACTCTCACACTCTCTTTCTGCGATTATCATCTGTCAGGTTAGTGATCTGCCCATCTGTTCGCATCTCTTGAAGAGAGATTCGATTATATTATCTTAAAGATAAAGTGATTGTCCTGTTTATTGCTGTGTAAACTGGTGGTTTATTGGCTTTGTGGCTAGCTCATGTTAGCTCATTGATTTCACTCAAACATGTTACTTGCTAACCAGAAATGTCATTTTAGCTACACTACCATTTTGCACTAGGTGATCACGGTCAGGTGTGGGATTTTATTTGTCGTGTTGATTTAAAGTCCCGAACATGAGCAGAAATGGGCTGTTAGCACTAGCCTGCTACTGATTTTATTGTATTATGGATTTAAGTTGCATAATGATCAGCTTTCAGTCTAATGAACCTGTCAAACAGAGATGATATATATGGAGAGAGATCTGTGATCGTGCACTGCTTACTCTAGTGTTATAAATAGATAAGCATTGATTTCAGTGGTAAATATAAAGTCTACTTCCTGTGACGTTCACAGTGCCCAAAACAACATGGTATTACTATGGTACATGTCCACTGTCATGAAAACACGATAGTACCACAGTAAGCCCCAAAAAAAGGCAAGTACACTGATAAAATAAAATAAAAAGTTATACCATGATACAAATCCAGAAACGTAGTCTTACCATGATACATGTCCAAAAGCATGGTATTACTATTGTATTATGGAAATATATTAATATATAAAAACATATTACCATGATACATGTCCAAAAGCATGGTATTACTATTGTATCATGGAAATATCATGATTTTTGGACATGCACATGTTAGGTGTCAAAAAGCATGGTATTACCATGGTGCATGTCCAAAAACATATTACCATGATACATGTTGAAAAAACATGATTTTACCATGTTACATGTCCACAAAAACGTGGTTTTATCATGTTACATGTACATAAAACATGGTTTTACCATGATGCATGTTAAAAAAATTGATTTACCATGATGCATCTTCAAAAACATGGGTTTACCATGTTACATATCCAAAAAAACTTGGTTTTAGGATGTTACATGTCCACAAAAACGGGGTTTTACCATGTTACATGTCCAAAAAACATGGTTTTAGGATGTTACATGTCCAAAAAAACGTGGTTTTACCATGTTACATGTCCACAAAAACGTGGTTTTACCATGATACATGTCCACAAAACGTGGTTTTACCATGTTACATGTCCACAAAAACGTGGTTTTACCATGATACATGTCCACAAAACGTGGTTTTACCATGTTACATGTCCACAAAAACGTGGTTTTACCATGATACATGTCCACAAAACGTGGTTTTACCATGTTACATGTCCACAAAAACGTGGTTTTACCATGATACATGTCCACAAAACGTGGTTTTACCATGTTACATGTCCAAAAAACGTGGTTTTACCATGTTACGTCCACAAAAACGTGGTTTTATCATGATACATGTCCACAAAACGTGGTTTTACCATGTTACATGTCCACAAAAACTTGGTTTTACCATGTTACATGACCACAAAAACTCGGTTTTACCATGTTACAATGTCCACAAAAACGTGGTTTTACCATGTTACAAGTCCACAAAAATGTGGTTTTACCATGATACATGTCCACAAAACGTGGTTTTACCATGTTACATGTCCAAAAAACATGGTTTTACCATGTTACATGTCCACAAAAACGTGGTTTTATCATGATACATGTCCACAAAACGTGGTTTTACCATGTTACATGTCCAAAAACATGGTTTTGCCATGATACATGGTACGTTACCAAAAAAAGCCATTAAATAAAGGCCCCAGTCAGAGCCCATGATGAAAGAGTGTGTATGTTCACAGGCCGTGTGTGTGTGTGTCGAGGTCATGTGGAGGAAGGCCGTGCTGGTGGCGCTGTTGGCGTTGGGGATGGGGTATCTGTACCACACTGACCCGGAGCTGCCGGCCCGCGTGCTGAACTACGTCAGCGAATCCCTGCCGCAGATGGAGCCGAGTGGCGGCTCAGAGCCCCGCCCCCCGACGCTAGAGGAGACCGTCGCACACGCCTGGCAGACCCTCATCATGGCTCCGGCCCGACGCTGGGCGAGAGTAGCAGTGGGGTGAGTTTCTCTGACAGAGCACACATTGTTCATTTGATCAGTCCTTTCGTTATTTTGATTGTTTATTATTTTTTTTAATCATCTATTTTTTTTTTTTTTACCCCATTCATTCCTTAGTCCCACTGTTGTCTGTGTCCTTTTGTTCAAGTGTTTACAGATTTCAAGATTTAAGATTTTTTTGTATCATGCACAGTTATATATAACAGTATTGCAATAAAATCTAAATCCTGGTCACTTACTTAAATTGTACATAATCAAAATAAACAAAGTAAAAAAATAGTTATAACATTTTTTATATATAAAATTAGTATTATACTACTGTATGTTAGAATATTATGTGATATTTAGATGTACATATTTATATATACTTTATTTTGGGCATTTTATTTGAATTTTCTTCTTTTCCTTTTTTTATTCAAACCTTTTTGATAATTGTTAAGTATTATTTATATACTATTATAGCACTTATTAATATTTATATATATATATTTTTCCCAGTTTTAGTAATTTCATGTCAATTTCATTGTTTACTATTATTTACTGTTTTTAATATTTATATATTATTTTCTGTTTTATGTCATATGTATAACTTGTGGATGATTCGTTACGATTTGTAGCAAAGCTACTTTTTTCTTTGTCAATTATTTTCATTTCCTCTTTAATCAGTTAAACAAACAAATAAACCATGTTTCTGCTTGTTTATTCATTCATGTATTAATTTGTTTCTTCATTAATTAATTAATTTTTTGATGCTTTCGTTAATTCATTCATCTAATCAATGTTCTGTTCACATTTGGGGCCACATTAGCTCCCACACGCAGCAGGTCTGAACACGTGCAGGCTTGTTTGTTTTAGAGCCCTTCCCATCATGCCTTTCTTTCCTCTGTCAGGGTGAATGCCTGTGTGGATGTGGTGGTGTCCGGGGTGGGGCTGCTGCAGGCGCTCGCTCTCGAACCCGGATCCGGCAGAGACCACAAGGTGCTACACAGCAAAGAGGACCTGAAAGAGGCCTTCATCCACTACATGGGGAAGGGTGCCGCCGCAGAGCGCTTCTTCTCAGATAAGGAGGTTTTTCAAAGGATCGCACGGGCGGCTGCAGAATATCCCGGCGCTCAGGTGCGAGATAAAGCCTTTTATGACAGTAGGAGTGGGTTTTGTGGTCTGTACCACATTGTTTTCCCTCAGGGCACGAATAGAAAGTGATTGGACAGAGATTAGCTGGTCTCTGAGCACACTAAAACCTGTCCAACAGGTTTGACTGCTCTGATTCAGGCCTTAGTGTGGTGAAATCCAGAGCAGTCTCTCCGTTCAGACATCCATACAGCACTGATTCTGCATATGTCCTATAATATCTAGTTTAATTTTGGCATGTGCTGTAAATGGATCTGGCCCTTGAGATCCGACAGTTTAATTTGAATGCACGAGAGGGTCCGGAGGGGAATTTAGTTTCTGTGTCAAATATAATTTGGCATAATCAGCAGTAATTAAAAGGCGCAGTGGCTGGACCATGAGTCTTATGACAGGCTATTTTCACGACAAATTATATGCATTTTATTATACGCAAATTTTCATGAAAATGATATGCAATAATGTAACACTATTTTTTCTTATAACATTATAGACAATCTGGCAATTTTATAAGTTCTTTCAATCGTAAATTTGATAGAAAATCAGAAATTGTCAGAGGAGAAGTCTTTTAAAAAAATATCATGAGTCACATAACAGAATCATTTGCTCCAAAACACACTTGTAATCGATCCTGCACATTTTAATTTGAATAAAAACTGCTTTTTTCTTGTTTCTTGCAGCTTTATGTGGGTGGAAATGCTGCTCTTATTGGCCAGAAACTGGCGTCTAACCCAGAACTTGTAGTAAGTATCTGTTACAAGCTTACACCTTGGCTTCACTAGACGTTTAAAGGAACAGTTCAGCCCAATGAAAATTAAAGTGTGCTGAACATGTACTCACCCTCAGGCTGTCCAAGTTGTAGACGAGTTTGTTTCTTCATCAGATTTGGAGAAATGTAGCACTACATCACTTGCTCACCAATGGATCCTCTGCAGTGAATGGGTGCCGTCAGAATGAGAGTCCAAACAGCTGATAAAAACACCACAAGCAATCCATATGACTCCAGACCATCAATTAATGGACTGGAGTGTGTGTGTGTGTTTTAACCTTAAACCATCGCCAAACCGTTGGCCAAAATACTAACCAACAATCCATAATAACGCTTCCTCCAGTGAAAAATTCCATCCCCTGTTGTCCTCTCACATCAAAATCCACTCGCAGATTTGTTTAGAGCTGTTTTGACTTGTAAACGGTGTTTGATCAGTGCATATTTCTCTCCGACCAGATGACTTTTTCACTGAAGAATGCAATATTCTGGATAGAGGACTCAAATTTTTGCAGGAAGCAATGGTTTGAAGTTAAAAAATGTCTTGATGGATTTGTTTCTTACAAACATGCAGCTTTTCACTTCACAAGTCATTAACTGATGGACTGGAGTGGTAAGGATTACTTGTGGATTATTGTGATGTTTTTATCAGCTGTTTGGAATCTCATTCTGACGGCACCCATTCACATCCATTGGTGAGCAAGTGATGCAATGCTATATTTCTCCAAATCTGATGAAGAAACAAACTCTTCTACATCTTAGATCAGGGATGGGGGACTTCGGTCCTGGAGGGCCACTGTCCTGCAGAGTTTAGGTCCAACTCTGTTAAAAACTCACCTGCCTGTAGCTTTCTGGCGATCTTAAAGACATTGATTAGCTTGTTCAGGTGTGTTTGATTAGGGTTGGAGCTAAACTCTGCAAGACAGTGGCCCTCCAGGACTGAAGCTGCCCATCTCTGTCCTAGATGGCCAAGTTCTTTAATGATGAATTTCTTTAATGATGAAAGTGAGTCATGGTTTTATGTCAGAATGTCCTAAAATTCCTTCATATAATAACTATGATCATTTTTAAGAGTGCAAAAGCAGCACATTCATACCTGATTATAGTTTTCTAAAGTGTGCTGTTTTCTCTCAGGTCCTCTTATGTGGTCCGGTGGGGCCAAAGCTTCATGATATGCTGGATGAACAGATCATAGTCCCACCAGAATCTCTGCAGGAGATGGATGAGTTCCACCTCATCCTGGAGTACAAGTCAGGTGAGAGAGACCCACTCAAAACCACACTCACATATCATTTCATTTCTGTAACATCTCACATTTGAAACAGAATATTATAAGATGTACTCCAGTCGTGTTCTGGCACATTGGTACCGTTGGGTTTTTGTGTCTCTGAGCGTTTCCTCTCTGACGCCCCCTACAGGTGAACAGTGGGGTTCCTCAAGAGCTCCTCAGGCTAACCGCTTTATCCTGTCCCATGACGTGTCCAACGGTGAAATGAGCACGCTGGAGACATTTGTGGCCAGTCTGGAGGAGTTCCAGCCGGATCTGGTGGTTCTGTCCGGACTGCATATGATGGAAGGAATGGGCCGGGATCTTTGGGAGGAACGACTGAAAGAGGTCTGAGACCAGAAAACCCTTAATCCAGAGTTGCTCAATGCCCATCTGAGTCAGTGTAATTACATATTAATAAAATGGATGGTTCTGAAACTTTTGACAGGTAGTATATGCTGTTCTGACAGAGTAAAGGAGATATTTTGAGGTTTGTTGGACACTTCACTGCTGCTTCTTACATATTAGCTCTGTGTTCTGACTTCCTGCAGGCGGTGGTTGCCATCTCAGACGTGAGGAACGAGGTGCCCATCCACCTTGAGCTGGCCAGTATGACAGACAGAGACTACATGAACCGGATCCTGCAGGAGGTAAATGTGGAGGTTTAATGAAGGAAGGATTGTTGTTGGTGGTATACAATAGTGTTGGCAAATGTTACTTAGAAAAGTAACACCATATAGTTTTTCATTGCTACAATGTTACTTTTATTTAAATGCTACTTTTCCATACCAATGTACTTCTTTTGTGACACTTTTATACTTTTTTTAAACAATTTTATTTTAGCGATTTGCAGACCTGGAAATATAATAGAAATGATTACTTTCTTAAATAAGTAAATAGTATTCATTCTAGTTATTATGTTAGTCCAGTAAAATGTTTGGGGTCAGTACGATTTTTATTTTTTTAATCAATACTTTTATTCAGCAAGGATTAATTACATTGATCAAAAGTGACAGTAAAGATTTTTATAATGTTACAAAAGATTTCTATTTCAAATAAATGCTGTTCTTTTGAACTTTCTATTCATCAAAGAATCCCGAAATATAACATGTATCACGGTTTCCACAAAAATATGAAGCAGCACAACTGTTTTCAATACTGATAATAATAAGAAATGCTTCTTGAGCAGTGAATGAGTATGTTAGAATGATTTCTGAAGGATCATGTGACACTGAAGACTGGAGTAATGATGCTGAAAATTCAGTTTTGCATCACAGGAATAAATTATATTTTACAGTGAATAGAAATAGAAAACAGTTATTTTAAATCGTAATATTATTTCACAATATTGCTGTTTTTACTGTATTTTTGATCAATAAATGCAGCTTTGGTGAGCAGAATAGACTTATTTAAAAAATCTTACAGACTCCAAATTTTTTGGATATTCACAAAAATTGCACTTTTTGAGTGCCAGCTCTATAATCAAACAAATTATTTATAAATCCTTATCACAAACTACTGGAAAATTGCTCAGATCTTATGAGGAAGCCTTTGTATATATCAGTCATTTAAAGAAAAGAAACTCCAGTATTCTAGTGCAAATCAAAGCAGAACGACAAGGTTTTCATCTGCAGCATTTCAGGTTTCTCCGTGCTCTTCTGTTAGCAGGTCTTGCCCATCATGAACTCCATTGGTCTGAACGAACAGGAGCTGCTGTTTTTAACTCAGTCTGGAGGTGGACCTCACGCTGACCTTGCTTCCTGGGATGGCATACCCGACGTGGGCCACGTCAGCGACATCCTGCTCTGGGTCCTGGAGCAGCACGGCCGGGCGGACCCAGAATCCGAAGCCGACCTGACCCGGATCCACTTCCACACGCTAGCATACCACATCCTGGCTACGGTGGACGGCCACTGGGGAAACCAGGAGGCGGCGGTGGCCGCGGGCGCACGTGTGGCCAGCAGTCAAGCCTGCGGCCTGCAAGCGGTGGATGTTACGAAGGTGGTCCTCAAGGCACCGCTGAACTTCAACAGCTCCTTCTCAGAGCCGAGGGAGAGCCTAACGGTGGACCCGACCCGACCGGTCACCGTGTGGCGCAGAGGGAACGTTTCGTTCCATCTCACGCCGGTCCTGGTGTGCAAACAGCCTCTTAGGACTGTGGGATTGGGCGACGCCATTTCCGCCGAAGGACTTCTGTTTTCAGAGGTCACGCCTCGGCCTGAGCTCTAAGAGACGCCTCTCGTCCATGCTTTTGAAGATACGTCCTCGTCATTAGATCCTAAAGCTGCAGAAACTCAACAGACTCACGGGGCATCAAACGACAGGATGTTTTTCAGAGCAAAACCAGTTCGAGATGCAGGGCACTGTCCTTTTGTTGTTGCTACTTTTGTCTAAAATCACATTGTGAAAGACGGCACTGAACGTAACGACGTGAGCCAGCCTCCGCCATTTTTTTTTTAAGGTTCATTTAACCAAAAATGAACGTTCGGTCATCATTCGCTCGCCTTTAAACCTAAACGACCTTCTTTATTACTACATAAGAAATAGTCCAGAAGTCTAAGTCAGATAGTTTTTCGGTGAGTAAATGATGACAGAATTTTTATTTTTGGAAGAACTACTAACTTTTTTAAAAACTATAATAAAAGGAGATCATACTCTGGTTAACAGGTGAACAAGACCTGCGGCTGCTATTGGGACGAATGAAAGTGAACGAGAGAATGATTTTAGAGTCTTAAACGTCCCAAATCTCCATTGTATTCCCAAACACTCCTTTATTTGGTTTTGAACGTTAATAAGTAGCAGAACCGGAAGGCCATCAGGTTTATCCAGCGATGTGCTTTTTTCTTAATCTGAGTAACGTAAAGTTCTTATGGAAGCATGTTTCTGCCACTGAATAAAAAAATAAAAAGGTAATTGCGAATATTTCATCTCGCAATTCTGACTTTTTTTTCTCTGAATTGCGAGATATAACGTCAGAATTGTGTGATATAAACTTGCAATTGTGAGATAAAAAGTTGCACGTTTTTATTCAGTGGCAGAAACGGGCTTCCATAAGCTCTTTTAACATAATGAAATTAAGCATAAGTAATTAAAGCAATGATCCCAGGGTCAATCTAAAGTCGAAATAATTCCTAAATATTAGATTATAGTTAATAGTTTAGATCACCAGCTTACCTGCCGGTATTGTGGCCATTATTCAGTGCACATATTATTAAATACTATTCATTATTCTTGTCTTAATCTTAATGTTCTTCAAGGTGGGAATCTAGCTGTAGGTTTTTGTAAATTGAAGCCAGCATAATTTGTATATATTAAGAGAAATCGTAACTATTTTCCATTCATTCTGGTTTGGTCAGCCGGTTATCTGTATGTACTGTAGGTGGCACTAATGACGACTGTTGTGATTTATGATGCTTCCTGTTTTTAAAGGTTACACATAATGAATCTGTCATTTATTCTTATTAGTCATGAAGTTCAGGCTTTCCGCCGTTGTACCATCCAAACACCTCTGAGGTATGATTTTTAATGTCATACATTAAACATTTGGGACGTACTAATTAATCTCGATATGTGAATTTCATCTGTCTTAAACCAGCCTTAAACCCATTTCGAGGCTTTTTAACGAATGCAGTTTTAGAAACATTGAGCAGTGTTTGTAAATGAGCCACGAATGGTTTTATGAACACTTTTCACACAAATGTGTTTGTGTTTCATGAATGAGGCAAGACGTTCAAGTCGGTAGCTGGGAGAAATGAACTTCATGGATTCCATCTTGTTTTGTACTGTGTTTCTGTAACACTCCATATTGATGCTGTTAGTTTCTCAAACCAACAAAAGAGGTGACTTTTAACATCAAAACCAAAAAATGTTTCCATTACTGTGTTTAGAATTGAAATCAGAGTTAGCGTGATTTTAAATTGGCAATATCACAACTAGAGTTAAAGGTTTTAGTCTTGTGTCACGTGAACTGGTTACTAATGGAGTAAATGGAACTTCATCAATTCACGCAGCAATACTTGAAGAAGGTTTTGTTGTTCAGATGCAGCAAATGTTGAGTCTTGGTGTGAGAAACTAACAGAAAGTTCACATTCATGAAACTTTTAGACTATATCAAATGTTTTAGGGTTCTAGTTTGCACACGTGATTATGCAACAAAGTCTTTAAGAGTTACTGGGCAAAACGTCCTTCAATCATAAACACTGAGACTAGAAATATTAGCTCTGTTAACTTGAGTATGGAATATTTTTATATAAATAAAACACTTCTGTACCGGGTATAAAATGACTGTTTCTTTGTATTACACAGCCCTGCATCTTAATAAATAAATCCTAATATTACCTAATTTGATGATGCTAAATTGAAAAAAAAAAAAAATATATATATATTTACAAAAAAATGTTTTACAAATTTTTTTTTTTAAAATAATATTTAATATACTTATTAAAAAGAATCAAAAGCCAAAGGTTTTAATGACCCCAAAAAAAGTATTTAAAATGTATTATTTCAACTACAATCTGCAAAGGAGTGTAAAAAGTTGAAATCAGGATGATGAATCATAAAATAATGTCTTCAGAATCATTCATACATGTAAAAAAAGGGCTGAGAATTGAACAAACTGTTGTAATCTGGCTCAGCTGAAGACAGGAATCATGTATTTGTGGCAGTTTTTCTGCTGATAATGGTATGATACAAGAATTCTTCACCTTACAAATGGTTGTCAAAAGCCAGAATGCTATTAAATGCATCATATTATGTGAGAAAATGTGACATGCTTGGCACTATTTCTGGAATCAGCACCTCAAAATGAGCAAAAAACGAGTATTGGATTTCATTCAGCAAATACGATGCAGGGTGGTGTAATCATGCGCTTGTGTTACAAAGACCAAAATGATAATGACATGCTTTTTATGCAAAACCTCCTTAGGCAATTATAATTTTTCTAAAGACACAAATTAACCGTCTACATTAATATAATGCACCATTCAAACAGACATCTAAAGATCTGCGATTTGCACTTTAATTCAACTATATATAAACGCTGTACATCGATAAGTTCTAAGAATCCTCTTCAGCTTTGGATATAGATATAGCTCTATTCAGCCGCTGCTTTCGGTTTACTCTTCTTCTCTTTGAGTTCGGCCGTCTCCTCTACCTCATCCTCGTCCTCGGGCTCTCCGGGATCGACTGTAGGGGGAGACGGGGCGCTGCTCACATCCGCTTCGGGCTCTGGAGGGAAAGATGGAGCGTTAGGGTGGACTGATCTGTGTTAATGACATGAAGTTGATGGGCTGAGCGGTCATTATATTTGTCACTGAATTACATAAGAAATAACAGAAAAAAAAAAAAAGATTACATATGTTGGGACACATTACAGTAATGAGAATAAATAAATAAATACTAATTACATACATATATTTTTTTAAAAGATACCTTAAAGTTTTGTTTAAGGGCCGTTTTATTGCAAGTAAACTATCTATGAGCAGAACGATTGTTTTGTAACATTAGGTGTTAGTCTTGATGGTCTCTTAATGTCTAAATGGCCAGATTTTGGTCAGAATAAGACTAGGGTTCAGTACCTCTGGGTCAAACTCAGTGTTGCTGTTATTGTCCACCTGAGTGTTGACTTTTCTCTCCATCTCTTGAAACTGCAGCAGGGCAGCCTTCTTATCGCCCTGATTATAGAGGAACACCGCAAAGTTCAGGTTCACCAGCAGCTTTGACCTGCCAGACAAAATACACTCACTTTAACTCAACTAGTTCTGTACATTATAGATTTACCAGCACAGATCAGGGTCTGAAGTACATACTCATCCAGCTGAAGCGCCTGCTCGTAAGACCTGCGGGCGTTATCTGCGTCGTCCAGATTGGTCAGAGCAACTGATGAGGGTCAGAGCACAAATAACAATCACATTAAATTAAACTGGACAAATATTGATTCTCACATTTACACTGTTCTTTAAAGGAACTGTTCTTTTAAAAATGTTTTATTTATTAAAAATAAAAGTGCATTATCATTTTTTATCTAAAGCATTAAGTAAATGAAGTAAATAGCAAAAGTACAACACGTTACCTGTTTAAAAAACTATTTCAAACAGCAGCAATTGTTATTAGATTATTATTTTGAATGTAAAGTGACATTTATTTTTAATATTAATTTTAAAATATATTTAATATCATACGGCATTATTATTATTTATATTTAACAAATTATTTATTTTTAAATTAAATTAAAAAGTAACATGCTATCTGTTTAAAAAGTACTTAAGATAGTATTAGTTGTGGTTGGCCAGAAGCATGCAAATTTGCTCATACATGGATGATTTTCATATTTAATATCTTGTGTGAAATATATTATTAATATATCTTTATTGTCTTTCTTAATACACGTTTTTTAAACCGTTTTTATTTTAAAATTAATTAAAATATCATAACACATTATTCTTTTTTTATGTAAAGTCACACATTAATTATTTTTTAAATTAGTTAAAAAAGCTACTATTGTATTTAAAATATGATCTTTTTTAGTAAATGTTGGTTGTTTTTATGTTTACATTTATTTAATAAAAATGTAATACTGTATTTTTAAGATAAAGTAAGAAGTCATTTATTTTTTAAATTAAATAAAAAGCAAAAAAGTATGGGATTACTTTATTACTGTCTTTTTTTTGTGTTTTTTAATTGTTTTATTTTAAAATGTATTTTTTTATGTAAAGTGACACTTATTCATTTTTTTTTTATATAATAAAAAGAAAAGCTGCATGTTGATAAAACTGTCAGACTACTTCAGCAGTAGTTTTTGATATGTTTACCGGCCAGTAGCATGTAGAGTTCGCTCATGCGCGGCCGCAGGTTGATGGCGGCGCTCAGAAAGTGGAAAGCTGATGCGTACTGCTGCATGGTGAGATGAACCAAACCCAGATTATACAGGATCTTCCAATCAAACGGAGACAGATAGTTTGCCCTCTTCAGACAGCTGATGGCCTGCAGGAGAGAGGCAGGGAGGAAGAAAGGTAAAACAGGTCAAAGAAAAGCACTAAATGTTCTCCTGACAGTCTGTAACTCACAGCCACGTATTTCTTTTTGCCGAAGAAGCACATCCCGATGTTATTCCAGAGCGGCGGGCTCTCAGGGACAGAGTACGCCGCCACACGGTACTTATTCATGGCCACGTCATAATCTCCATGAGTCTGCATCATACTGCCGGCCGCGAGGATGGCCGACAGATAGTTTGCCCTCTTCAGACAGCTGATGGCCTGCAGGAGAGAGGCAGGGAGGAAGAAAGGTAAAACAGGTCAAAGAAAAGCACTAAATGTTCTCCTGACAGTCTGTAACTCACAGCCACGTATTTCTTTTTGCCGAAGAAGCACATCCCGATGTTATTCCAGAGCGGCGGGCTCTCAGGGAGAGAGTACGCCGCCACACGGTATTTATTCAT